GGCGGGAGCAGCCCCTGGCTCATGCCTGCCCCTCGGAGCCTGGGACGCCCCGGCCGGGTGCACCTGGGGCACCCTCGGCCACCCAGGCCTCGCGCGTCTGAGCCACTCTCCCGCAGAGGTGTCGCCGAGCCGCCGCGGGGCCGGAAGGGGAAAGGGGAACCAGTGCCTCCGGCCGCACTGTTTACACCCCGAGGAAGGACCCGGGCACCGCAGGGTGCTGGCAGGCAGGGCTCGGCCACCCAGGCCTCGCGCGTCTGAGCCACTCTCCCGCAGAGGTGTCGCCGAGCCGCCGCGGGGCCGGAAGGGGAAAGGGGAACCAGTGCCTCCGGCCACACTGTTTACACCCCGAGGAAGGACCCGGGCACCGCAGGGTGCTGGCAGGCAGGGCAGCTGCCTGCACCCTCCTGCCCGGGCAGGTGAAATCTTGACCCTTGACCGAAACGCTGAGGATGGGGCTGGGGTGCTGGCAAGCAGCGCTGGATGCCTGGGTGATGCGCCCCTTGCAGTGGGGCGCGGCTGCTGCAGCGGGGGGCACAGGGATCCCCGGGGGGAGCGGGGGGACAGGGGACAGCACAGGGATCCTGCCGGGCCGGGGGGAGTGGGGGGACACAGCAACCCCTTCCCTTGGCTGTGCTCCCTGCGCAGCCCTGGGCTGTGGTTGAGGCTGGGCTCCGGAGACCGCTGCTGCCCCGGGCGGTGGCACCGGCAGCAGCTGCGGGGCCGGTGCTGGGCTGTGCCCGGCCCCGGGCGAGCAGAGGTTGAGCCGTGGTCACCCCTGGCCCCAGGGCAGTTGGCCGGTGGCCCTGCATGGCTGCACCCTACCCGGGGACGCAGGAGCTGCCCAGACGGGGCTGGGGCAGGCAGAAGAAGGGGTGCTGGGCTGCTGCCTGCACCGCTGCTGGGGCTCGGCCGTGCATGGCTGTGGGGGTGTGGGGGCCGTGGCTGCGGCTAGGGCCGGGCTCTCCTTGCCCAGCCTTGCAGGGGATTTACATTTCATCACCGAGCGAAGACGGGCCCCTGCTTGCATCTGGGCTGAGCTCACCAGCGCTGAGCGGGTGGACACACGCTGGAGCCTCGCCACTGCGTGCTCTTGGGCGCTTCAGCTTGATTCAGCAAGACCTAAGCCAGTTTAACTGCCCTGTTGTGTCTGCCGGAGGCTGACATCACCGACTGGGAACCAGTTAAACCAGTGGCAGCCTCCCAGTCCGTGCAAGCCCTTGCAAAGTGGGCTGTGGTGGGATCTGCTCAGGGGCTGGTCCCCTCTGCCCCCTCCCGTGCCCTGAGAAACCCCCGCGCTGGTGGTGGGGTGGGAAGAGGAACTGGCATGGGCTGCCCACGCTCCAGAAAATCAGCTGGTAGGACAGTGAGATCCCCTGGCTGGGACACGCGTGGTGTCGTGAGCGTGACCCTGCTCAGCTGGGCCGTCCCTGCATCCCGCACCAGTCGAGCTTCCCCTTTGGGGCTGGGGCTGTGGGGCTGCAGCTCAGCGCAGCCTGCGGGCACGGCCGGTGTCTCCCCACAGGGCAGTGGGGCCAGACTGTGCCCATCCTGGGGTCTTCCCATGGCCGAGATCCCTCGGGGCTCACAGCCCTGGTGTGTACCGGGACCAGGAGGGGACGGGATGGGCGAGAGGTCGGTGGCTGCCTTACAGCCGTCCCCACGTGCTGGCTGAGCACAGGAGGGGCTGGGTTGGGGCAGCGACAGCACTTGGGGCTCCCAGGCTCTTCCATGCAGCCCCCTCCTTCCCACCCCAGGCCAGGGTGCCTTTTCCTTCCCTCGCGGGCCGGGGCCGAGGCGATGCTGCCGGTGATGCTGCTGGCCTGGGCAGCTGGTCTCCATTTGGGAGGAGGCGTCCGCATTCCTGGCATAGCCGCGGTGACCGAGGAATCTGCGGCGGCGCATTCGGCCCCACCGGAGGGGAGAGCATTGAGCATCGTGCGGCCAGGGACCCCTGGAGCTCAGTGCCGGGCACCCGCAGGCTCCAGGGGACAGGGATTAACGGGCCCTTGGGGGGGGCATTTCCCCCCGGCCCCCGCAGGCAGTTTCTCCTCATCCTCCTGGAAAGGTTCAGAAGCTGCCGTGTGTGAGGGGCACCATGCTCTGCGGGCTCGCACTGGATCCGGCCGCACCAGTGCCTGTGTCTGATGGCAGCATCGTGCTCGTGCTCCCGTCCCCATTCCCATGCAAGGGGCACAGGCAGGGGAACGGGCAGGGGCAGGGGCAGCCCAGCTGCTCTCGCTCCCCAGATTGTATGTATAGATGGGCAAAAAAACAGGCGATGGACGGGGATGTGGAAAGCTGGAGGTGGGGGGAGATGTCCTCCCCTGTGAGGGGGTCACACTGTGGCTTTACTCCCAGCCGTGGCTCTTGCCGCCTGCCACCCCCGGGGGGGTTCCTGCGCACCAGGAAATCGTGGCTGAACAAATATCCCAGGGCCGTCCAAGCTGCCCGCTGCACCCACCTTGCTCACTGCGCCCACCTCACCCCCTGGCTCCCTGGGGCTGGGGGCAGCCAGTTTGTGGGGTGCACTCCACCGCCCTGCAGAGGCTGGGGGGATGGGGTGTCAGTGTCCCCAGCGCTTCCCGGGGACGGTGTTCGGGACTGGGCTGCTGTCCCCAGACCTCCCTGCGGGTCTGTGCCCGGGGTGGGGAAGCCGTCCCCCATGAGGGGTTTGGGGTGCACGCCGGGGCCATGCCTGAGCTGCTCCCTCACCGTCCCCTCCCAGCTCGCCCAGAAGTACGACCCACAGAAGGAGGCTGAGCTGCGGACATGGATCGAGAGCGTCACAGGGCAGCAGATCGGGCCCGATTTCCAGAAGGGGCTGAAGGACGGGGTGATCCTCTGCGAGTGAGTCCCGCGCTGCTCGCTGGGCGATGCTGAGCACAGCCCCTTGGCCCCTGCTCTGTTCGGATGGGGACGCAGGAGACCTGCCCTCCAGGGGACACTCGCCAAGCCCTTGGGGTGGGAAGGGCGGGCTGGATCTGGCCATGCCCACGCCGGTGGGACCCACCAGAGGTTTCCTCTGCGGCGCTGCTTGGCCAGAATCGCCCCCAAAGTGCCCATGTCTGGGGGGAGCCCTGGGGGCCAGCAGGGACTTGGGGGGGGGGATCGCCTCACACTTGCGGGGGAGACCTGGGCTGGA